GACTCTCTCTCTCTCTCTCTCTCTCTCTCTCTCTCTCTATATATATATATATATATATATATATATATCAGACTATTAATATATTCGAAACATTTTTGGAATTTTTGGAGAATTGATAGAATTTAAAATAAATATGAAAGTTGATGTATAAAAATGTTGATTGAAATAATATTTTTTTATTAAATTATAAACAATTTAAATATTAGATGAAATAAAATGAGATTAACGGAGATTAAGCGATCTCATTCTTTTTTCATCTAACTCAATTAATTATCAGTTAATTTAATAAATATATAATAAATATAATAAATAAACATTAATTAATATTTTTGTATATCAAAGTTTGTATTTGTTTTGATTTCTAGAATTGACTTCTTAGATATCTTATGAATATTAATTTGTATATAATTCACTGTTTTACAAACATACACAAATTTTCATTAAAATCAAAATTTTGAATTAGATAATTTTTCTATTAATATAAAATAGCATATGAAACTTTTGTCTTTCATAAATCATATATGTTTATTTATATTATTAAAAATTCAAGATTTAAAAATTGTATTGTTTTTTATTATTACAATAAATATTAAACTTATCGGAATTTTGTATCAATGTATTTTTTATCTCTATGGGAATATATCATTTCAAATAATAAAGTTATTATTTCAAAAAATATATAATGTAAAAGATTGATGAAAATGCTCAATTTCATTATAAAATTATATGTCTAACTAATAATTTTATTTATGTTTTATAACATTATTACAATTATATAATTATTAATATATAATATATATATAAATATACATAATATACTTATATTGTAAACATCCTAAACATACTTTTTTGAACTTTATATTTAATTTATTTTTTTTTTTAATTAAACTTTCTTTCATTTAAATATTTATTAATTTAATATCATTTTTTAATATTGTTATTATTTAAAAATTCCATTTTACTTTAATGTACTTATTTAGATTGATTTTTGATCATTGATTCAATTCAGTAATCTAATATTATTCTATATATATATACATATATATATATATATATTTATTATAATTATATGAGTGCGTATATGCATAGATATATTGTACTCATATGTGTAAATGTTATTAAATATAATACTATAACACTATATATAAAAATTCCTTATTTTTATTAAATTTATTATTTATTTAATAAAATATAATTTATTTAATTATTGGGAGAAAAAATACTTATCATATACAATTTTATTATTTAAATATTATTATGACTTTTTTTTTAATTAAATAATATAAATATCACGTTTTTTAAATATTTTTAAAAAATTATATAAAAAAATTGAGCAATTTGTTTAAAAAAAATAAAATAATTTTCTATTAAATATTTATTACGTAATTGATATTAAAAATTCAATTCTTTGTGAAATTCAATTTTATATAAATAAAAAAAAATTAATTTTAGATATTAAACGAGAAACGCGATATAGCAAGATTTTCACGTGCTTCCATCTATCGCGGTCTTCTCCATTTTTTGAGTAAAATTTTAACATTATCAATATCCTTTTTATGAAGATTGTAAAGATACTGAATTATACATCAGATATTTTTTTGTTATCTATTCTTCATTTAGTTTTGCATCAATAATTTTTAATTTTTATGAAAAATGTACGCAAATGATGTCGTTATATAAGCGTACATCAGCGCATGGCACATTCCATACGCATTTTAACAATTAATAATACCATAACTTCTATATATTTTGAATAATAATGTTTCTATTGATATTTAATTTTTTTTTTTTCCATTCAATAGAATAGAAAAATGCGACTCACTGTTAGTAGAAAAAGCATTCGCTGTGAGAAAACCGAATATAGTCAGCAAATACAGCATCAAAAGTAGACACCTTCGCCCCATAACAACCCTTTATTGTGCACACCAGTCTTTTTGATCCACTACCACTCTCCAACACTACCACTGACACTAAAATTTTGAAAATTATTTCTTGTCGTTATTTATGTCACGATTGTCTTTCTAATGATTTTAATAGCCGGCAAACCGAAGAGATCAATCAACAATAACAATCTTCACTCATTTATTAATTGATTACAAGTAAGATCACACGATCCAACAATTTCTATTCGGCATCGAATAAATTACAAGTTTTCATATATAGCAACAACTAACAATTGAAAATGGTTGCGTATTTGAGTACAGAAAAAAAACTACACTCCACGAAGTGGTTGAGACTGGTTGAGCAGGCCCGCCCCGTATGTAAGCACCTTGTGCTACAGTGTCTTTCGTTGTATATTTCTTGCTCCCTCTTTTCTTTTATCTTTTTCATTCGTTATGTGAATCCGTTGTAGTTTCTTCCTCTTGTGCAGTTATTCTATTTCTCTCTATTCTATAAAATTATTCTTTCTTTCTCTCTTTTTCTTTCCCTCTCCTGGGCGAAACGATGACGACCACTGATTCTGACGCACCGGTATCGCGCCACCTGCGCGCGCAAGTATTCTCAGTTCTTCTTTGCTTGTTTTCTTTCTCTTTCTTTTACTAAAGTTAAACTATTTGCGTACTCAGTCTGGTTTCTTTAAATGTATATCATGACCCAGCTTAACCCATATTCTATCTGTTTAATAAACAGGTGAAAAATGTATGTGTAGTATTTAATAACATATTTAAAAAAAGCCTAATTATTATTTTGAAATTATAAAACAAAAATTTGCATTTGAGTTTATAAATTATATATATACGATAAAAAATAATTATATTTCCGTAAGTATGAGATATTGTAAATATTATAAATACAAATTTCTTTTAATTATTTTATATTTATTCTCTTTTCTTCAACAATTTATTTTTCTTTAACATAAAATAAATACTAATAAATACTATATGATAATATATAAATTTTTAATTCTACAATATGATATGTATTTAAAAAGCTATACATATGACTATAAACTTGTTATAAAAATACTATATATATATAGTGTATATATATATATACACTATACTATACTATTTATACTGATGTAGTCCACATTAATATATTTGATCCATTAGTAGCTAAAAAATAATTTTTTTGTGGATGAACACTTAATGATACCATAGGATGTTTTGTTGGTTTAAATCCTGAAAGTTTTGCAACTACTTTCTGAGAAACCAGATCCCATATCCATAATTTTCCATCTGCAGATCCAGAAATAATGCGAGTATCTTGATTATCAACATTTGATTCTAAGCATAAATTATTGACCACATGACCTGTGAATTCTCCAAGTAATTCTCCTGAATCTTTATCTATTAGTCTAATTACACCATCAGCAGAACTAACTACTATGCATTGACCATCTCTTGTAAAACTTGCACATATTACTGCATCTGTAATAATAAATTTGATATATTTCTGTAATAATTTTGTAATTTCTGTAATAATAAATGATAATTTTTATTTTGCTTTTTGTGTGTTTTTAATATATTAATTTACCTCCTATATAATCTGCATATATTTCACCTACACGAATATCATATCTGCGTATTTTTCCATCAAAAGAAGCTGTTAAAATTTCATGATTTGATATTCTAACACTAGAAATAGAATCCTTAGCTTCATTTAAACATTGCACAGGTTCTAACATTTTAGAACGGACATCCCATAACATAACCAAATTATCTCTTGATCCAGAAATAACCATAGATGACTCTTCATTAAATCTATTCAAAAAAAAAATATTATATTTAAATAAATTATTATAAAAACATATGAGAATAATAATTTTATAATTTTATAATACCTTACAGTATTGACAGGACCTGCGTGACCTCTTAAACGACGTATTGGAGTTCCACTTGCTACATCCCAAAGAATAACTGATTTATCTAATCCACAAGACACTATTTGACTACTATCACAAGATGCACTACTATCCATTACCTCATTTCCATGTCCTTCATATGTTTTTAAAATAACACCTCTATAAGGATTCCATAATTTTAATTTTCTGTCAGATCCACAAGTTAAACAATAAGCACCATCAACTAAAAAAATATTAAATGTAATCAATATTGCTTAATTATAAAAAAAATTATTAAAAAAATTATTATTGCTTAATTATAAAAAAATATTAAAACAATATTAAAAACTATTTAAAATAAAATAGTAAAATAAAACTATATGCATACCACTAAATCGTACAGCTCTAACAGCTCCTTGCTTACAATCTATTTCTTTTAAAAGTTTATAATCAATTTCCATTTTAAATTTAATTAAAGACCGTTTAGAAATATTTTTTGAAAACAAAATTTTATTTTATATATTAAATTTTATCAATAATATAATTGTTTTATATTTATACAATATTTTTTATATTTAACATTTCTAAATAAATATATTTATTTGTAAAATTAGATATATTGTTGTTTTTATTTAACCATAGAGTATAATATATTTTATAGACTAACTAAAATATATTTGTATTACTTGATTACATGTGCTATTCTTTCATTGATATTAATATATTTATATAATAATATAAAAAATTAATTATATTATACAAATTTTAAAATACAAACTTCAAACAATAAATAAATTTTACAAGTTTAATATCAATGAAATATCAATAGTTCTAGACTATCCAATCATCTTTTCAGAAAAGTAGTTTAAATAAAGATAGTATGTTTAAATCATTTTTTACATTTGCTGCGTATTATTGTTTAACATTTGCATTTATATATAAAGAACATGTAATTGAAAACGTTTTATCAAAATACATTACAAAATATAGTTATGAATGAACATAAATGAATAATATATATACATATTATACATATTATATATATATTGATACTTACCAAAAATAAATTTTGATTTATTTTATAATTGTATTCTAAAGTGACAGTATTTCTTCTTTATCGAAGTATGTATTATGTTTTTAACAATAATTATTTCATACTCAATATAATCTTCTATCAGATTTAAGTAAATAGCAGATTATATTTATTACATTATTAGGTTATCAATACAACATAACTTTGTTAAATTTTATATATGAAGAAGATTTTGATAAATGATGTAAATGATTAATTAATTAAATTATTAACATAATATATGATAAAAATTATGTAGATAAAATGGTTGCAAATACAGCTGATGTGACTGGATCCATATATCATGAAAGACAAGTAATTATTAAATATTTTATATTCTCAATTAATAATGGAACAATGTATGTATATATATATATATATATACATATACACATACACAATATATACATATATATACAAATAATTAATAAATTTTTATTAATTATGAACATATATATATAATAATATATATTTTATATATAATATATTTATATTTGCATGATTATTATTCTTATAGGTAAAAGAGCTTTGTGCATTACATGCATTAAATAATTTATTTCAAGAAAGACGATTTAGTAAACAAGAATTAGATCAAATTTGTTACAGCTTAAGTCCAGATGTTTGGATTAACCCTCATAAATCATTATTAGGTCTTGGTAATTATGATATTAATGTTATTATGGCAGCATTACAACGAAGAGGACATGAAGCCGTTTGGTTTGATAAACGCAGGTTTGTTTAATTCGACAATATTATATAATATATTTAAACATTGTTATGTTATATTAATATATATATATATATATATATATATATATATATATATAATATATAATAAATAATAATAATAATATAATAATAAATTATATATATTAAATATTTTATATTCTCAATTAATAATGGAACAATGTATGTATATATATATATATATATATATATATATATATACATATACACATACACAATATATACATATATATACAAATAATTAATAAATTTTTATTAATTATGAACATATATATATAATAATATATATTTTATATATAATATATTTATATTTGCATGATTATTATTCTTATAGGTAAAAGAGCTTTGTGCATTACATGCATTAAATAATTTATTTCAAGAAAGACGATTTAGTAAACAAGAATTAGATCAAATTTGTTACAGCTTAAGTCCAGATGTTTGGATTAACCCTCATAAATCATTATTAGGTCTTGGTAATTATGATATTAATGTTATTATGGCAGCATTACAACGAAGAGGACATGAAGCCGTTTGGTTTGATAAACGCAGGTTTGTTTAATTCGACAATATTATATAATATATTTAAACATTGTTATGTTATATTAATATATATATATATATATATATATATATATATATAATACATATATATAAAATAATAATAATAATATATAATAAAAAATTATATTAATATATAATTTAAAAAAATTAAGAAAATTAATTATATGTATATTCTGTATTATATTATTATTTATATGTGTAATATAATATATATATTATGTATATATTGAAAAATTGGGAATTTTTTCAGGGATCCCAAATGTCTATGTTTAGATAATATTGAAGGTTTTATATTAAATGTACCTACAGAATATAAATTGGGATTTGTATTACTTCCTTTGAAAAGACGACACTGGATTGCCCTGAAGAAAATTCATGGTGCCTTTTATAATCTTGATTCAAAACTTGATTCTCCTCAGCTTATTGGAAAGGTTTCATTTAAAATTTTGATTTTAAAAATGCAATACATATATCTCAATAAGAAATCTTTTGTTAATATGTTATTATATTGTAATATGTATTAGGAAAATGATTTACTTAGATATCTAAAGGACCAAATAGATAGTAAGGAAAAGGAATTATTTCTTGTTGTATCAAGAGAAATAGATAATAATCAAGGATGGTTAATAAATACATATGCAAATAAAGAAGGAATTAATGCAAATCACGATACTGATATCAGGTATATTGAAGATGGATATACAGAAATTGATTTGAAAAAAGAACCTACAGAAATGAATGAAAATGAAAAATCATTACATGACAAAAATTCTAGGTAATTAAAATTTTCTAATTTAGTTAAACTATGTATCATTTTCAATGCTTCAGGCCAAAATAAATTAAAAATTAAAATGACAATAGTTCATTCGATAAAAAAAAGTTCTATATTCAGGGAATTGAAAAGATAAATAAAAGATTATATATTATGTATATTGTATAACAAAAAAATTTACTATTTTTATTATAACTTGAGTTGATATATCATATGAACAATTGTTTGATTAAAATATGTATGATTATGTTCTTAAATTCATATTTATATAAACCAAAGAAAATTTTATCATGATAAAGATATAATGATTCAATTATGAATACATATGTTGTTAATTATTATCTATATAGATTTTTTATGAAAATGTTATGTATTAGTTCATTATATATAAAATATTAACATATTTGTGAAATATTTTTGGAAGACATCTTTATGAAAATGTTATGTTTGTTTTATGTAAGATATTTATGTATTTTTAGAGTATCTTTAGAGAATCATTTCTAAAATGTGACGAAACGAAATCAAATGAGACCGTTTTTATTTTTATTATATTTATTATTGCCATTGCACTCTGTTCTTCTTTGCTTGATTTAACATAAATTTAAATTACTTATAATTTAATGAATATGTCTGAATTAACATTTTTGTATTTGTTTGTATTTATTTTTTCTAGAATCAATCTTCTAAATATATCTCACGAATAATATCTTGTATAATAATAAATTAATATATTGAGAGTGAAGTTATTATTATACATATATGATAAAAAAAACTATTGCATGATAAATTACATATATAATACTGTTATTTGATTTATAAATATTTTACGATTACTTGCATTTGAAATCAAAATATATTTCCGATATTAATTTAATATTTACAATACTTGTAATATTTTAAAATTATTTTATCAGTATTATTGAAAGTATATTTCTTTAATTTAATATATTTATGTTTTACATAGTATATTATTTTTTTTTTTTAATTATTATTTAATTACGAAGTAATTTATTGTTTTGTAGATAAATAAATTAGATTATAGAAAATATAGAATTATAATATTACTACATTTTATTATACTATATGCTATTAAGAAAAAAATATTCTAATATCTCCTTTTTCTAAAAATTTTATTTTTTTCTTAATATTTATTATTAGTCATATTAGATTATTGAATTAAATAAATAATTATAAAAGACAATCTTTTATACTTTCAACATATATATTGCAATATAAATATCATAAAAATTAATTAATCTAACTTTCAATCAATGTAACTTTTTTATATTTATTGTTATATATTTTGTTGTACATTTTAATAATATATTTAAAATAATTAATTATATGATTGTTATTTTAAAAGAAGCTACATTTTTTGTTCATTATATATATATATATAACATATATATATATATATATATATATGTTATATATTCCAGTTTTATAAAATAATTATATTTAATAATTTGTTATTTAAATAACATATAGTTTTTATTATTATTTATTGTATTTATATTTACATTTATTAGATATTTATTAGATATTTATCTTAAATATTGATCATTTAAAATTCTTTTTTAATTATATTAATACAAAAAATTACTATTATGCAATTTAATGTAAAAGAAAAGGTATACTATAAAAAATATTAATCTTTAATTTCATATTTATTTTTTAATTTTGAAATTGATGAAAATATTGTTTTACATTATTATATATTAATATATAAACATATATTATATATTATATATTAAAAAAAAAAATATAATATATAACAAGAAAAGAATGATTTAATAAATTTTACAATTATTTCTTGCAGTATTTATTAGTAATTTTTAAAACATTTATCTTTTTACATAATATTTAAAATATTTATTTTTTTATATTATCTTTTAATTATATATGAAATTCTTTTTATATCCTTATAATTAGATAGTTTACATTAAATGATATACTCTATATAATACCAAATTTATATTTACATATTATTAAATTATTTTTTTTAATAAAAAATATAAATATAAATATTTATTAAAAATTTGTTTTTTTATATTCTCTAATGAATATTTGTCAACAATTTTAATATATGAATAGTAATATATATAATAAATATACATCTAATCACATAACTATATATTTTAAATAATATATTAATTTTATATATATTATATTTAAGAATTCTAATTTAAACTAATAATATAAATTATAAAATATATATTTATATAGTTACCATTTTATAGCAAGAGCAGTATCTACTTTTTTTATTTCATGATATTGAGTGTGGAAATATGCTAAAGCTTTGTCTGTATATTCTCCTCCTAACCAATTTTTGTATAAATTTTTCACTATTAGATTTTGTTCAGGATTACTTTGAGGAAGTTCTCGATATATAGATTCTAATTTTAATGCCAGTTCACGTGATTGAACATTATTTAAAGGTCTAATTTGTGCTCCTCCATTAAGACATCCTAACAATTTATGTATAATTTGAATAAAAATTTATTATTATAATATAATATTATATTATATAGTCTGTAAACAAAACTTACCACAGGGACATGCCATAACTTCAACATAGTCATATAAACATTTTCCACGTTTCAATTTTTGTACAAGATTTTGTATATTTCTAAATCCATTAGCAATTGCAAATGTTAAGAGTGTCTGACCATCTTTTTGAAAGATTGCTTCTTGAAAATCGGGATTTCTAAGATTTTTAAATTCAATTATTATATCTGTTTCATTGAATAGATATTTTGCAGCATAACGAAGAATAAATTCTGCATAACCCCCAGATCCTGAACCACTATGACCATATAAATCATTTTTCAAATATTTCATTTTTGATTCAAATATTCTTTGAATTTTTTTTTCATTATTTATTTCACTTAATATCACATTATATTCATTAAACATTTGCTCTATTTCAACTAAAAAAAAAAATAAATATACATATCTTTGTATTAATTTATTGTTTTAACTTAATTAAAGAAAAATAAATATAAATGAATATTTTTCTTTAAATTTTGAAATCGATAGTATTTACTTGGAGTTATAACACAATCTACATCTCTAGATTTTATTTCATGATTATAAAAATCCTCTCTGGATGCTTCCAATTTTTTATCATAACAAGGCATAACAGTTATATGATAAATTTGTTCTGGTGAAAGATTCATAGTTTCAGCTAAATGATATTTAACTAATGATCCCATAATTTGTTGAGGAGATTTTGTAACACTTATATATGGAAGTATAAAATTACCATGTGTTTTTTCAGCATAACATACCCAACCTATATTTAAAAACATAGAATAAAGAAGAAAAGTATTTTTTTATATTATTTTTTAAATAAATTTATCTAATCTAAAAAATTTTTCTTATCAGCAGAAAATCTCTCAGCAGAAAAGGCTAAAATCAATCTCCAAAGTTTCAGTATTAAATTTTAAATATAAAACAAAATTTTGCTTTATCTCGTATTATCATAAAATTTTAAAATTCTGAAACTTTGAGTATTAATTTAATTTCCTTCAAATTTGATTAAAAATAAACAAAAATTTTAATTTTTTTATAAATTTTTTATTTTTAATATAATTATTTTTAATATATGAAGTATAATTACATATATGAAACATTTTTTAAATATCATTTTAAGAAAATTAAATAAAAATTCAATAAATTTTTTTAATATATTTTTTTAATAGTATAACATAGAATAAAATGTTAGACAAAATATTCTGAATTTACTGCTTTATTATAGAAAAATATTTTTAAAATTATATTAAAAATTTGACAAAATATTGTAATTTTAAAAAAATTGATTTCAGCTCCTTAAAGAAATTTTCTGCAATTTTTTTTTCTAACAAAAAATGCTCTATTTATAATAAATTTTTATTCAAAATCAAAATTTTTGAATTTAATAAAATAATATACAAAAATTTTTATTTATCTTCCACTATTGAAGCTAATAAATAATGTTTGATTTTTTAATACATTATCCAGGATTTTCTATGCAAATATGAAAAGTCATATTTTCAAAATAATTAAAAATAAATAAAAATATCATGAAACAAAATTAATTTTTAATTCATATTCTGAAAATAATTTTTTGTATTTTTATGTAAAAAAAAAATATATATGAGAATGGCAAAAAAAGGGATAATTTTGAATTATTATAATAGAATAATTATATAAAATAAATTTTATAGAATAAATTTATATAAAAAATAATAAGAATTTTTGTATTTTGGTTAAATATATAGTTTTATATTATATGAAAGAACAGAAATGAAATAATATATTAATTAATAAAATTAAATTAGAAAAAAGAATTTTTTATTTATATGACCACTATAATTGTATCTTCTTTTAAAAATAATTTATAATTTTAAGTAGATTAATTTATGCAATTTTCAATCTTTACAAGAAAAAATATTTAATTATTTCTATTAATTTAAAAATGATATTTGGGTATTTTATATATTGAAAAGAATTATTTATAAAAACATTATTTTATGAAAACATTATATTATATTACTACTTACCTGGACAGGAAGAAGATAACATAGGCAATTGATTTTTTACACCATTTTTATTTGCTCTGTAACGTTGTATAAATTCTTTAGCAGATTCTAAGAGAGCAAAGTCATCAGCCACAGTCATATCTAAAACTATATCTGCTCCTAACTGATAAAAATACCCTGCAAGTTTATTTAGCGCTTGTTCTGAATTAAGATTATAATGTTCTGCTATGGATAATACTGCTTGCACCGAAAGACTAACTACAATAAACGTTGAACTTATACCATCTTTACTCTATAAAATATATATTAAAAAATACAGATTTTTAATATTTAATTATATAGTTTATATTCTGTGTCATTTTAATAATCATTACCTGATATTGAGAGGTTTTTTCTCTAAATACTCGCATCAATTCTTCTTGACTTTGTTGTGTAACTAATATACTTTCTGCAGATGTTATGCAACCACTACAAGCTAAACAATCAGCAAGTGTAATTTCAACTTTCTCTAATTTTTTAAATTGTCCAATCTAATAAACATATAAAAAATAATTATAAAATAA